TGTATACATGTATACACACATATACATAGGACCCTGTTCACCAAGGACCCACCAATGGCTGCAGGTATATCCCTTGGGTTAATACCTCCACTCTCTTCTGGCAAATCCATCTGATTAGGTGAAGGGCTGGGGGAGAGGGAGGGGAGGCTGATTTGAATCTCCCTATCATCTGGTAAGAAGCTTCAAAAAGGCTGCTAAGGAAATGGATGGAAGGCTCACTTCCTGCTTTTCAGCATCAATATGATGGAGGGAAAATTTGCCTTCAAACACGTGCTTCTGATTAGAAATGCTACTGGAAAACTAGGGGGGCCTATTTTTTATTCCTGACAGGACCAAGTCAGCCTATTGCCTCACCTGACATTATTCCAAACTCACAGTCTTTGAATGAAATTTCCCCCGAGTCAGAAAGCAAAGAGGAGAGGCAGGAAGGGAGAAAAAGGAGTGAAATAATGGAGGGAGGAAAGGAGGAGCAGAAAACAATCCGTTTCTCAAGTGTCTAACAATTTTTGAATTATTTGTTTCAGGAATATTCCTTTCTTTTCTTCTTGTTTCCATGAATTCTGTGTTTGGAATGGGAAACATAAAAAAATAGCTTCTCCTGTCTCCACCACCTCCTCTAAGTTTACCCTTGAGCTAGCAGGAATGGATGGATGTTCCAAACAGGCAAACAGGCTGGAAAGAAGGACAAATGTCCTAAGGACTAGAGACATCTCAAAGAGGAAGGGGCCTCTCAGTAGGGAGGGAGTTTCCCTTCCTAGAGGCGATAATATAGAGAGTGGATAGCCATTTTGGGGGAATTTTATAAAGGAGATAGCAGAAGTGATATAAGTTGGAATAAATGGTCCCTAAGATCTCTTCCAATCTTGAAAACAATTGAGATTCCTAGCTTCACTTGGGTCAAGACAGCTGAGGACATCATGGTATCTATACCAAAGCACCATGGAAGTGACCCTGATCACTCAGCAAGCAACAGCTCCTCTCAGAGACAGTCTCAAAACCCAGGAGTTGGGGTTGCTAGGGAAGTGGGAAGGGGGCGTGTTATTATCCGTCATGGGCTCATAGATTTAAATCTAATAGGATCCTTAGCCACCCTCTAGACCTAGGTCCTCATGTTATAGAGGAGGAAAGGAAGGTTCAAAGAAGTCAAGTGACTGGCTCATCGGTCAGGTCACTAGACACAAAGAGAGCTAGCAGAAAGGCTTGGTTCAAAGCCAAGGTGTTTGACTCCCGACCCATGGCATCACATTGCCTCCGTGGCCGTTCAAATCCCACCAGATTCGGGAGCAAAGGTAGAAATATTAAAATGGGTACACTTCAGACAGGAACATTAGGTTAATCAAAACTAGAGGCCTAGAAGAGGAGTCTGTGGATAGATTTCGGGGGGTTGTGAATTTGTTTGGGAAACATGTCCTTCTTTATCTCACTAACTTTTTACTGAAATTTAGCATTTCCTTCCATTATTGAAAAATATGATCCTGAGAAGGGGTCCATAATTTTCATCAGATTGTCAGAGTGGACAGATGGGGGGGG